TGTGCCCTGTGTTTTTCTTCTGGGAAATAAGTTTTTGATGGAAGGTTCTTACCTTAAGTTAGAGGGTTGTGAGTCCATGAATAGTCAAAGAAAAAACGCTGGAGTGATACAACTAAAATTAGGATAAATAACAGTTTTCAAGCATATTTTTAAAACTTTTTGTGAGAAAAATGCTCATTGTAGAAATGTAAATAGAAGAGAATTAAGGAAATTGTTATAATTCTCAAAATGAGATAATTAGTATTTCTGATATTTAAATGACTACCTTTTGATTAATTCAAATCTTTTTAAGTAATGTAGAAAATACTGAATATTTAATTGCATATCTTGCTTTATTTCTCATGTAATTAAAATTTTCCCAAAATATTTATAAATTATGCTGGTTGAATGTATCAAAGTATTGTTGTACAGCTTTCAATTTTTCTCCTGGTACAGCTTTTATGAATCAGTCTGTATATGAGTAATCATTTCTTTAGGATTGATTCATAGAAATTAAATTGCTGAGTTAAGGATGTAAATTATTTTTAAGGTTCTGTATAAATAGTGATTTCTTCTTATAGTCATTTTTAAAAATTGTTTTTATAGTTCACTGTGAATGAACTTCAGGAGTGTTGGGAGGAGGCGAGCAGGGCATAGCCTTCTGGACATCTGGGGCATTCTCCTACCTGTAATGGTGGCCCTGATTCATGTGATTTTTTTCACAGGGAATCACATTAATCATACTTGAAAGCTCTTTTGATGATTGTTTAAAGCAACTCAGATATTAATATTTACCAGTGGTGTAAGACTTGTGATTTATGGTGGCATACATTTAAAAGGGAAAAACAACTACTTAGATACAGCAAATAAATTAATGCTGATAGTTTACCACCTTTTAGTTTGATTTCAAATCTGTTCATTACCTGAACTGTACAGTTTGTATTTGACTTTTATAGTACTAAAAAATTCAATATTTAAAGTTAAAAAATTGATGCAAATGTAAGCTTGATTGTAATGCAGGAATTTATAAAGACTTTGTGATAGTTTCATTTTCAAATAAGATTTTCTTGTCATATTTATACATAGTTTCTTCTTGTGTCAGACAGATTGTTTTTGAAGAAAATTAATGTACTTTTTAAAACTGTAGACTTACACATAGTAAATGATATGTTTGACTGACTTGTATGTATGCAACATGTATTACTTTGTGTGTGTATGAAAAATTCTTGATAAAACCTCCCAGTGTAGAGGAAAGTAAAAGAGTGGTGGTGTCTTTCATTGTTCCTTCAGTTTCACTGATTCTAATTATAGAAGCTTACATCACCTTAGTTGATAACAGCTTCTCTCATCATCTTTGCTTTTTTTTTTTTTTTTTTTTTTTTTTTTT